TTTGGTGTTAAGATTTTTGAGTTCTTTATATATCCTAGAGATGAGTGTTCTATCTGGTATGCGTGTGGTAAAAATTTGCTCCCCAAATTTAGGCTTTCTATTCACTTCACTGATTGTTTCTTTTGCTGAGAAGAAGCTTTTTAGTTTGAATCCATCCCATTTATTGATTCTTGATTTTAATTCTTGTGCTATAGGAGTTATATTAAGGAGGTCTGGGCCTAATTCAACATGATGGAGATTTGGGCCTACTTTCTCTTCTACTATGCAGGGTCTCTGGTTTAATTCTTAGGTCCTTGATCCACTTTGAGTTTTGTGCATGGTGAGAGACAGGGGTTTAATTTCATTTAGTTGCATATAGATTTCCAGTTTTGCCAGCACCATTTGTTGAAGAGGCTATATTTTCTCCAATGTATGTTTTTGGTGCCTTTGTCTAATATAAGGTAACTGTGATTATATATTATTTTAGACAAAATTTCTTTGTCTAATTGCTCTGGCCAGTGTTTCAAGAACTATGTTTAATAGAAGTGGTGAAAGAGGGTATCCCTGTCTTATTCCTGTGTTTAAAGGGAATGCTTTCAATTTTTCTCCATTTCGAATGATGTTGGCTTGGGGCTTAGCATATATAGCTTTTACAATGTCGAGATATGTTCCTGTTATCCCTAGTTTTTCTAGTGTTTTGAACATGAAGGGGTGTTGTATTTTGTTGTATTCTTTTTCTGCATATATTGAGATGATCATACGATTCTTATCTTTTAAGTCTATTGATGTGATGAATTACATTTATTGATTTCTAATATGTTGAACCAACCTTGTATCCCTGGGATGAATCCCACTTGATTATGGTGCACTATCTTTTTGATATGTTTTTGTATTTGATTTGCTAGAATTTTATTCATACATGACATATTGTACATGTATAATTACACATGTATTTTAACATATTATACATATATAGAGTATAACTTCCCATTCTTGTGGTTGTACATGATGTGGAGTTACACTGGTTGTGTGTTCATATATGAAAATAGGAAAGTTATGTCCAATTAATTCTATTCTCTTTCCTATTCCCATCCCTCCTTCCTTCCCTTCATTCCCCTTTGTCTAATCCAATAAACTTCTGTTCTCCTCCCCCCATTAATGTGTATTAGCATCTGCATATCAGAGAGAACATTTGGCCTTTGGTGTTTTGGGATTGGCTTATTTCACTTAGCATGATAGCCTCCAGTTCTATCCACTTACCAGCAAATGCCATAATTCCATTTTTATGGCTTAGTAATATTCCATTGTGTATATGTGCCACATTTTCTTTATCCCTTCATCTGTTGAAGGACATCTAGGTTGGTTCCATAGCTTAGCTATTGTGAATTGACCTGCTATAAACATTGATGTGACTGAGTCACTACAGTAAGCTGATTTTAAGTCCTTTGGGTGTAGACCAAGGACTGGGATAACTGGGTCTAATGGTGGTGGTTCCATTCATTTTCTGAGGAATCTCCATACTGATTTTCAGAGTGGTTGTACCAATTTGCAATCCTACCAGCAATGTATGAATATACCTCTTTCACACATCCTTGCCAACAATTATTATTAGTTGTATTCTTGATGACTGCCATTCTGACTGGAGTAAGATGAAATCTCAGTGTAGTTTTAATTTGCATTTCTCTAATTTCTAGAGATATTGAACATTTTTCCATATATTTGTTGACTTCTGTGAAGTGTCTGTTCAGTTACTTCATTTATTAAATAGCTTTTCTTTTTTTGTGTGTGTTAAGTTTTTTTAAGTTCTTTGTATAACCTGGAGATTAATGCTCTACCTGAGATGCAGGTGGCAAAGATTTTCTTCCATTCTATAGGATTTCTCTTCACATTCTTATTGTTTCCTTTTCTGTGAAGAAGTTTTTTAGCTTGATACCATCCCATTTATTGATTCTTGATTTTCCTTCTTGTGCTTTAGGAGTTTTGTTGAGGAATTTGGTTTCTAAGCTGACATGATGGAGATTTGGACTTACTTTTTCTCCTAGTAGTTGCAGGGTCTCAGGTCTAATGCCTAGGTCTTTGGGGTTATTTGTTTTTGCTACTAAAAGGCAAATGATTCTGCTAACTCCCAAGTTTAGATAATTCTTTTTTTTTTTTTTTTAACTTTTCTAGTTGTAGTTGGACACGATACTGCCGGGTTTCTGTTCTCGCAACTAAAAGGCTCAGGGATCACTCTAGTTAAACTGGGCTAACAGGGCTGCACGAAATAACCACACAAGAGACACAAATACCTTTTTATTTGGGGTTGCTGTGATGGCTCATCTGACCTTAAGGGTCTGTAGAAAGAGAGAGTGAGAGCACGCGCTGACCCCTTTTATTGAGGAGAAGCTATTCAAATAAGGTAAGGGGTCAGGTTTCAGGGGGCTGAGTCTATCTTCCTGATGTCCACTGTCAGCAGGTTGACTGACACCTGGGTAGGCCACACCCATGGGCATAGTAAGAGGAAGGGACACACACAAGGCACTTCCATGGAAGATTCTATCCTAAACAGGGCAAGGGGTTATATTACAAAGGAACAGGTGAACATAGCTTCACCCATGGGGCTGTAGCAAGACACACCCATTTCTGTGACTGAGCGCCTCAGCACCCAGCTGGGGAGTGTAACTCAGTGACCCTTAAGGTTGGCCTCCCACACAATACCTTTGTTTTATTTATTTTTTTTGTGTGTGGTGCTGAGGATAGAACCCAGGGCTTCACACATGCTAGGTGAGTGCTCTACCACTGAGCCACAATCCAGCCATAGCTAATTCTTTAACTTGAAGAAGAAAGCCTTTTTCTTTCTTTTTTTTAATCTCTGGCAACTTGTTTGGTATTGGCATAAAGCCATGCATTGTTTCTGGGGCAGTACAAGCTCTCTAGGCATATATAAATACAGATCGATTTTATTTATTTATATTTTGGTACCTGGGATTGAACCACTGAGCCAGTGACACCCCCAGCCCTTTTTTTGTATTTTATTTAGAGACATTCTCACTGAGTTGCTTAGGGCCTCACTAAGTTGCTGAAGCTTGCTTTGAACTAGAGATCCTCCTGCCTCAGCCTCTCTAGCCACTGGTATTACAGCCATAGGTCCCCATACCCAGCAATACAGGGCTATTTTTTATGCAATGCTGGAGATCAAATCCAGCACCAGAGATATCTCTGCAAACAGTTTCCCAAACACCTTTAGATTCATGCATGCTAATATCACTGAGTTATGTACCCAGAATCTTTGAGTCAGGGTCTCATTAAATTGCCCAGGCTGGCCTGGAATCTGGGATCTAATCCTCCTGCCTGAGCTTCCAAGTAGCTGATCTCACAGGCATATCCCACCCATGCCTGTGTGTATATACTGTTTTTAGCTAGTGAATTAAACTGTGCTCTCTTCAACTCTGTATAAAGATAGAGATATAAGAGACTCTAGCAGGAGCATGCCTCTAATACCAGTGGCTGGGAAAGCTGAGGCAGTAGGATCAGAAGTTCAAAGGCAGACTCAGTAATTTAGCAAGGCCCTAACAACTTGAAGACCATGTCTCAAAATAAAAAATTCAGCTCAAGGGTTACCTGCCCCTGGGTTCAATTCCTGGCACCCAAAACAAAACAAACAACAACAACAACAACAACAAAAAACCAAGAAAGAGACTTCAAAGATAATTTTGTTAATGCCAAAGCTATTAACAATAAAAATCAAAAATTTAAAACAAAAAGTTGGCTACATAGGGAAAGACCCTAAGAGGAAGCTTGGATTTAGATTACTAGTCCAATTATTGGCTCATTAAAAATAAAAAACTCCTGGGACCTCAAGAATAATGTCTGTCACCTGAGTCTCCCCCCCCCCTTAAATTTAGAGGCTTTTATACATAAAACTTAAAAACAGGATTTCTCAACCATTTCTTACAGGTTGTGTATTAGGCACAGATGATTCAAACTGCTGTTCTCGTACCTCATCTGCCAACTTCATCTTCCTTGCTTTGCTTGCCAGAAGGAAAAAACGTGAAATTATCTTACTCTCTGCTCAGCAACTGAGAAATGCTTTGGGTAAAAGTAGATTTAACCTGGATCTTCGGAGAAACATACGAAGATTTTAGCTTTTACCTCTCATTTATTTGGCACCTCAGATCTAATAAGGGCTTTTAGGCTGGCTTTTAAATTTGAGCCTCAAAGCCCTGATTTTAAAAGGGTATTCATTCATTCAACTTACTACGTGCTATTGTAGGCTCTGGCAAAACACTAGGTACGAAAACAGAAAAGTAGAAAAAAAAAAATTGGAAGCCCCACTCGCCTGAAACTTTTCTTTTAGTGGGAGAGAAACCAATGTTAAAAAAAGGACAGGGCAGACTAGAGGAATTTCGTCTTTTGCTTGACCGGGGAGCAGAGGGTATGGAACCGAGGACAGTTTAATTGACCATTTTACAGATAACGTAAGAGCCGACTTCGCAGTAGTTGCACGGATGGCGCTTTAACGACTCAATGGCGGGCTTGCCATTTAGGTCCACGGGTGGGGGGGGGGCGAGGAATAATTAACAGGAGGTGGGCGCTGATGTGGGGACATTAGTCCAGGGATTCGAAAAGGCAGAAACGAAGAGTGATAAGACAAATTCAAATTAATTCAAAAGGAAGCAAACTATTCACACCAAAACAGAAACGTCGGACCCCCACACGCAGAGCTACGCCAGAGTCCCCTGGAGCCCTACGGAGGCATTTGTCCCTAAACACACGTCGGCGCCGCAGACTCTGCCCTAAGTCTACTAGGACGCCAGGGGTGCGGCTGGGGCGGGCGCTGCCACCCGGAACCGGACCTGCCGGAGTGCGGCCGCGCTCCCTGCCCCGCCAGCCGCTGACCGCCCGGGTTGGCCGCGGCGGGGGCGGTGGCTGCGGTACCCGGAAGTGCAGCTGACGTGTCCCGGCCGCGCGCGGAATTGTGGGCGCCTCGGCTAATGGCGTCGGCGAGTCTGGGGAGTCTGGGGAGCCAGCGCTGAAGGTTCTTGCCAGGTTGGCTGGTGACGCCCGGTGTGGCGGGGCCCCGCTGCCGTGGGACGGACGTGCCCACCTTGTGGGCTCCCGGGCCAGCGCTGGCGGAGCCTAGCGAGACTGGGCGACTGCGGGGGCGCCTCCGAGAGGAGCCGGGGGTGTTAGAAAGAGGCTGCGGGGGGCGCTCGGGCACGCTCCGGGTTCGCAGCCCAGGCCCGGCAGAGCCCCTGCGGAGCCCAAGAGGCGGGCTGTGGAAGGGCTGGAGGCGACCCAAGGAGTTGACAGTGCCACAGTTTATTTGTGCGGCTCTGAAATTAGCTCAGACCTTGAGTGATCATGTCTGGCACCAACAGCCCCGAGGCGGTGAAGAAGCTGCTGGAGAATATGCAGAGCGACTTGCGGGCCTTGTCACTGGAGTGCAAGAAGAAATTCCCACCTGTCAAGGAGGTAAGCTTCGGGCGACGTCGGGAGAAGGCGCCGCGAGCTTGTTTGGTCCTCTTAGACCCAGTCCTTCTCTCTCAGCCTCCAGTCCGGTCTTGATTTTCATTTGTCGCTCACCTTTGCAGGTGATTTGTACCGACTTTTTATAGTGTCGGAGAGGTCTGGGGCGATTTGATTTTTTCCACTCTCTTGTCGTCCTGATTTAGGAATGAAGTTGATGGAGTGAGCCAATTCAGTAATTCAGCTTTTCGGGTCTTTTTCAAACTCGGGACAGGCCAAGCCAGAATTGAAAAACTTATATGTCTGTTTCTCATTCCTAAGAATGAATATCACTGTTGTGAAATCTGTGCTTCTCACTTGTATAGTATAACACTCGATTGGAAACTGCTTTCCTTGTTGGTATGTGTCATCAGCTTATCTCTTATCAATCCCATGAACTATTAACGGATTATACAGACCCACCTAATTTACAGACAGTGTTGATACCTACAGGAACCATGTTAATTAAACCTTCTTGTTATGAGCAGTACCTTGGCGGACAGTTGGGTTTGGAGTCAAAGCAAATGGACCTGAATTTAAGTTCCAGCCTTACATCTTACTTAACCTCTTGGAGCTTCAAAAAAAATCTTTTTTTCAGCTGTAAAACGGGTAAAATGTGGTTATATAAGATTATGTGTGGCAAATGGTCAGATTAAAAGGGTGTTGTTAGATAGCTCATTAAAAATTTACACAAATAAAAGCTCCAAATAGTTCCTGAATTGAATTTAAAATTTAATCACTATTGGCTTTTTTTTTTTTTAAATTAAGATGCCACTTAATTATTTTAAATTTTAGAAAGATCTAAAATTTCCTTTTTTTTTGAATAAGACATTTCAGTGATGTTGTAAAGGTAATTATTTAATTTTTATTTCTATTAAATATAGTTTTGAATACCTGCAGTTTCACTTATTATTTGCCCTAAGAGTTCACCAAGGGATTTTATATTTATTTGTTTTATCCTTATAAATATTCTGTAATTAGAACTTGATTAATAAAGCTTGGATTTTAGGCTTCTAAGGAATCCTAATTTTACTATAAGTGCTCTAACTCCATCATTCTTTAACAGACTCTTTCTTGTATTTAATAAAGTAAGAAAACACACACACACACAATAAATAAGTAAATAAAGTAAGAAAACACTATCTAATACTACCTAATCAGATGTACCACTTTTGGCATGATAGCTATTACATATGTTTTATTTCAGATAATAGTTTGCCTTGATATTGATTTTCGTTATTTTCACTGTATCATTTGTTGAAAGTTATAACATGTAATTTTGAGGAATTAGGCTGTTTTAAAGAATTTTAAAGAATTATTATTATTATTTAATATTTTTAGCTATAAATGGACTTAATACCTTTATTTATTTATTTTTATTTTTTATGTAGTGCTGAGGATTGAACCCAGGGCTTCACATGTGTTAGGCAAGCACTCTACCACTGAGCCACAACCCCAGCCTCAAGAATTATTATTTTTAATTGTGAGAAATATGCTTTCATTTAGAAAATTTCAAATCCTGTTTTGTAATTTCAACAATAAGTAATAAAATTTATTGTTCCTAGTTCTAAGAATTCATATAAAAACTCTGGTCCCTTTATACTGTAGGTCTTTGTAGGCTAATTTGGGAATTTAATTAACTATTTGTTAAATTATTTCTATTGGAAAATGCATTCAGAGTTCCAAACAGGTCATTAGTAAAGTTCTAGAACTCAACCTATTCCTAATCCTAGGACTTTTCATTAAAGCTAATTAGCTTTTGCTTCAGTTAAAAAGGTTAAAGACATATTTAGTAATTACACCCAGTCTTTGTGATAATGATAAAGTAAGAGTAATTCTTACCATAATTTTGTATGTAGTATACATACTCTGTTAGGATTTGTTGACTGAAAAAATCTTGACTCCTTTACCAGTGACATATGCTTACGTTCCTGCTTTGGGAACTGAAAAATGACTTTGTGTCATAGCCTTAAAACAAGGATGAAGTAATTAGCTAAATAGTGATGATTTTTTTTTAAAGGAGAAATACTTCACTTTCATGAATATTTTGATCTAATTTAAACTTCTTGGTAAATTAGTGGTAATGCCAAAATTTGGCCTTTGTTTTTTAAGGAACTGGTAAGTTTGGAGCTTTATTTTTCCCTTTGGGTGCTAGGTAGACCTTAAGGCAAAACCTTTCTAAATGTGAGAAGCTTTTCCTTTTTTTCTTTGCTAGTTAACATTCTCCCAGTATGCTTACAGGTGTTACCTGAAAAATGCTCATTCTGAACTCCTCAAGAACTTATTACAAATCTAATTGCATTGTACTTGGAAGGGATACTTTTTAAATAAGTTACAATGAAGTAAGACATTTTATATTTAGTCTTTATTGCAAGTTTTAAATAATTTCTACTTTTTTTGGCCATGGTACTTGACTATAAATCTTTATTTTTAATTAATAAGCTGAGTTTTAAGATTTCAAATTTGTTACAAAAACAAAGATTTATAGAAAAAACATATTGATAAAGGGTAGTGTCTTATTTTTACCTTTGGAGTTTTCCTACCCTTACTTACCTTATTATGTTCATTTATGTATCTATCCTTTGAATATTAAGTTGTTTTGTAATGGCTATAATTTCAGTCTGCTACTTTATAATAAAGATAGTTATTAAATAATATTAATAGCAATTATTATTTCTCCTATTTTTCTGCTTCTTTTCCTTCAAGCCCCCCCTCCCATTTTTAGGGCAGAACATCTGAAGCAGCCACTTTGGAAACATTTGTATAATATTTTTTTCTTTGCATTAAAACCTTTCAGAAAGACACTTTTACGTAATTAATATTCAATGGCCTTAAGAGATAGTGACCTCTAAAGCTTTATATTTGTGTATTTCTTGAATGAGAACTTTTGTTCATTTCCTATTTGTGGGCACTATGCAGTAGTAACAGGTAAGGGGGAGCCAACTGAGCCTGGAAGTGTAATCTGAGAGTTTGAAAATTAAAAAAAAAATTTTTTTTTTTGTGGTACTGGGATCAAACACATGGGTGCTTTACCATGAGCTGTTACATCCACAGTCATTTTTATTTTTTATTTTGAGACAGGGTCTCACTAAGTTGAGGCTGGCCTCCAACTTGTAGTCTTCCTGCCTCAGCCTCCCAGGTTGCTCAGATTCCAGGTGTGCACCATCATGCCCACTGAAAGTTTGTAATTCTTGAGCTAAGTTTAGTAGTAGTATGATTAAAAATGTTGGGGTTGGTCATTCTTGGCAGATGAATTAGCCCATAACATTTATATTCCATGTAAAATACATTTCATACCGAAGATGACCGGGAACCATTAAAGCTCTTTAAAAAGAGTAATGTCATCAGATTCATATTTAGTAACATTATCTTGGCAGTATTGTTGGGAAGAATTAGAAGGTATTGCAAGATTGATGCAAAGATGGCAGATTTTCAAAAGTGGTGATTGCCTTATTGAAGTAGTTGTAGTGATAGACAGGAGGTTGCTTGTATTGAGAGGAGTGTAAGGGAGAGTATAGATTAAAAAATTTTTTCAAAACTTTAGGTATGTAATCAATTACCGAAGACAATCATTGGTTTCACTGTAGTAGTTGCTTTATGAGCATATTGTTCTTTAGGAAAAGAATTAAGGTCTTTTGTTTTAAAATTTTTTAGTTGTAGATGGACACAATACCTTTATTTTACTTATTTATTTTTATGTGGTGCTGAGGGTTGAACTGAGTGCCTCACACATGTTAGGCAGTGCTCTACCACTGAGCCACAACCACAGTCCTGATTTATGGTCTTTTTATTTACCTGCCATCTAAGTCTTTAGGCAGCACCATACATAACTCCCTATGTCTAATAAGTATATTATGTTAACCAAATTGCCATTAACTTGAATTTCACATTTCTCCTGCTGTGTCATATGGATAATTAATTTGGACCCTTGGTAAATTTGTTTTAATATGAACATTTACTCTCATAGAAGTTGTGAAAAATGTGTGTTGAAAATAGAATAGGAGCTGGGTGTGGTGGCATATGCCTGAGCAACTTGGGAGGCTGAGATAGGAGGATCTTGAGTTCAGAGCCAGCCTCAGCAAAAGTGAGGTGCTAAGTAACTCAGTATTGTCTAAAATACAAAATAGGGCTGGGGATGTGGCTCATTGGTAGAGCACCCCTGAGTTTGATCCCGGGTATCCCCCCACCATAAACAAACAAACCCAGAATAGGAGCTTTTGTGAAGGGAAGTAATATTTAAAAATAAAAATTTTTAAAAAGTAAATCTGCATATGGTTCTAGTAGTGGGCATTTGTTAGTTCCTTCCATAGCATTTATTCCTTTTTGCTACCTTTGATGGTATTCTGCACTCTCCCGTCATTTTTAGCCCTTTGATGAATTAATCTCATTCCTATTTCCATGGTACCTTGAGTAGCTTAGTCTATTTGAAATTCTTCCCATCTCTGCCATCCCACCTTTATTGCTGCCCAAGTCACATAATGTCAGTAAGTGCTCCTAGGGAGGAAAACCTCCTTCTTTCTTTTTCAATCTATTGAAAGAGACTCTCTTCTAGATAGTGTCATAAAATTTGAGGTATAGAATAGCTGTAGCCATTTTGTGTAAAGATTGGAAGCAGCCTGGGGATGCACCTGTCCATACAGATTCTTCCAATTTGTTCCCCTTCGAGTATCATAAGCAAAGAAGAACCAAGAGGGTGAGAGAAATGAAACAGCAGCCCTGATGGTGTGATTCTCTGGCTGTTTACCTCTGGAGTTTTCTGTTAATGAGACAGTAAAATCACTTCTCCTCCCCTGATTATAAATGAATTTGGATTTTGATACTACTTAGAACTTTTTTTTTTTTTTTAAATTCAGGTAGAAACTATTGTTTGAAAGGCATCATGGTAGACATTTGTAATGTAGAGAGAGAAGAATGAAGTAGGTGCATTTTTTGTCCTCATGGCTTACAGTCAAATTAGAGAAACAGCT